TTGCAGGTTATTTACAGTTCTAAAATGCCTCACTTGGATAAAATTCTTTTTTTCTGACAATTGTGGGACACGTCATCGCATGCTTGCGCGCCAGGATTGGGAGGTGCGACCGTACAAACAGTGACCAATCATTAACACTGTTTGTTTAACCTAATCCGCCATCCTGATCATGATTAAGCTTCCTGCGTGTACACTTTATCCTGCAATACTCGTACTGAATAAACGTGCTCCATGCTACACGTCTGTTTCCTTTCATATCTGGGCGATAGCTTAGCTGGTTCTAGGAGTCTAGCTAGATGTAGGAGGATCTGCCATAGAGATTTCTGACTCAGTCAGGCTTTACTAAGGTAGCAATCCGCTACACATTCAGGACGTCATTGTAGAGGCCATGAGCGATGTTTAGGATAAAAATATTGTCAAATAAATTTAATTTTAAAATTAAAAATAATTATTTAATTTTATACTTTTAGATATAAAAGCATGGCTAACCTAAATGGAGAACACATTTTTAGAAGTGTTTTGAACTCACTGATATCGTTAATTGAGGTACAGGCTTAATGACAATTCAATTTAGTAAAATATGATGACCCAATAATTCAATTTTAACTTCTCATTACATATGTTTGCATAATTGGGGTGCGCGATAGACTTACCTCCACGTGATGCACCCTGGGCAACGTATACTCATAAGGCAAAAGAGTCTATTAACTGGCAGTTGACTTCTCACTTCAAACTACCATGACCCCACTTTATGTCATATTCCACCACTTTCACCGTACTCATCTTACCTTTTCTCGGCATTTGTGTCTGTCCGTCTCTTCTGTTCCCTTTCTCGTATTTGTCACACTTTGATGTTCCTCCCCTCTCTGAAGCCCGAAGTCAGCTAAAGGCTAATAATAACTATCAAAACGCCTGCCATTTGTAATAAATAAATATTTTTTTGCATAATTTATCTTATAACTAGAATCATTATTACTCAGTCACAATTCAATAAAACGGGTTAAATCAAGTAAGCTTAATTCGTGTTAGCTGGTCATCTAAAATGGTAGTCATTCGATCGGGTGGTTAAACATTACTTAAAATTCGGTGTTTTCTTCTTATGTGTGTGTGTGTGTGTGTGTGTGTGTGTGTGTGTGTGTGTGTGCGTGTGTGTGTGTGTGTGGGTGGGTGTCATTGCATGAGTTATATTGAAGTGACTTGATTGGACGATCAAAATTAGTTTGCTAGAAAGTCCAATCTTTTGATGTGACCTCAATTCTCCTATCAGACTAATCATATTACCTAAATTAGTTAATTTATAATTGAGGCTTCATTAGCTCTTGACACCTTGCCTTGATTTTGTGTTAAGTTCCTTCATCCTAAAGAATCAATTGTTTCATGAGATGAACTTGAATAACAAGGTATTTGTATTTATTTATTTATGTCAAATGGCAGGCGTTTTGATAGGTATCATTAGCCCTTTAGTTGACTACGGGCTTCATAGAGGGGAGGAGGAACATTAAAGTGAAAAAAGTCGATAGGGAGGAATGGAAGAGTGGTTTAAAGATGTAAAAGAGACAGACACAAAGGCAGAGAAAAAGTAAGCTGAGTACTGTGGAAGTAGTCGAATATGACATACAGTGGGGTCATGATAGTTTGAAGTGAGAAGTCAACTGCCGGTTCGATAGACTTTATTGCCGTATGAGTATACGTTGCCCAGGGTGCACCACGTGGAGGTAAGTCTATCGCACACCCCTGAATAACAAGGTTAGTCGTGAATGCTGTCTAAGCTCTTCATATTGACCCACATCTAGTTTATTCCAACTACTCTGGGGTGTGAGATAGCAACCTTGCTGGCATAAGCTTCATCTTCTCCAATGCAGATAATTTGTCTAATTTTTCGAAATGTTTTTTTTATATAGCAAACAAAAGAAAAGAATTTTCCCATTTTTCTCTATTCCTATTCGATGGACTAACAAATTCCCATGGTGAGACGCTAACTGGGTTAACGTTGTAATCTCTTCACTACGCATTGGCTTGGATACTGTTTCTGCTTACACATGAACGCAATATCCACTTAAAACAGAGAAGTTAAGTTTTATAACATTTTAACGAATTTGTAGTAGCATTTTCGAAAATAAGTGTTGTTTCAATAGAATTGAGCTAAAAGTAACCATTTATTAGCTCAAATATTTGGATATCTGTACGTGAAACTTATAGTATTTTGTTGTTCGCAAAATGTAATATTACACTTTCGACTCAATTAAATGGTAACTAAAACTAATGTACCGTATTTAGAGGATTGAAATGGATAAATTTTCACCCAATCACTTAATTAGCCAAGAATGATGATTTTATTATGTTTTTCGAGATTTTTGCATTTTTATGGAATATTTTCCATTTAAACTGACTGATCTTGTTAGTCCATAAAATTCTAATCTTCATTATGATACTTCTACAGTCGACTCAAAGTAAGCAGTCACACATTAGGGATTAAAACTTCGATTTTACTGGAATGTAGTTGAATTTCATCTAATCGAAATTCCTGGAGCAAATAAGAGGAAACCGAGAGGAAAGTGGAGCCTTTGAACTAAAGTTATATGCGATTATGTTGGTAATAAAGTGTGGTAAGTATTGGACCTGCAGTATTCAAGTAAAAGAAATATCAATGTTAAGTTTTTCGACCCGCTAACAGAAACATCAATTCTTATAAATGTTCTTAATCGAAAAATTCGAGATGTACCAAATTATTAAAAATAAAAAAACTATGAAAAAATTAATTGGTTGATTTCAATCAAGAGTTGGGCCGAAATCGACTAAACCGTCTTAATATTATTTAACGGCTATTTACCTTTTTAATTTTCATGATTTTAAATTTTATACGAAGCAATAATTTAATAGACAGATATTGTAATTCGACCATAAGGTAAAGTAAAGCATAAGGTAAAGTACAAGAATATGCTAAAATTCAAAATTGCATTTAGTAGAATTGAATACTGTGACACTAAAGTCTGTTGACTTAATTCACTCTCATAATAAAACAAATGATTTCTTTTAAGGAAAGAAGAAAGAATTGTATTCCATATTTTGCGCTATTTATGAAAATTCGAATGGGAAATTTTCTAAACCAGGGCACAGTTATCAAAGCACTATTTTTCAAGTTTACAAATATTCACAAGATGGCAACTTGTTTAAAAGAAAAAGAGCCGTCGATTTATTAATTATAAGCAATGGAATAGTCGTTAACATAGTGCTTTGCTATCTAAAGGCATTTTTAAGGATGCCTTTCAATCTTATATTGAAGTACAAAGAAAAGCCTTTCTTTTAAAAATTTTCATGTTCTTATTGTTTAAGATAAAGAAGTAAAACAGTGCTCATTTTAACCGGATATTACTGCTAGTGCAATAGCAATCACCAATCTTATTCAATCGATAGATGTTCATTATTATTTTTGTCCAGAATAGTGAACGTTAGATATAACCGGATAATTACATGTGGTTCTGTTTGTAGTAAAAATATTCAAATTTAAATTACATATTAAATGAATCTGACTAAAAGTAGGAATTTAAATTTACAATGCTTTATCTTTTAGCTTGATGGGGTGAGCGATAGACTTACTTCCGCGGGATGCAACGCATACTCATACAACAGAAGTGATGTTCGAGCTATCGTAAAAGAGGCGATTGCGAATCTCCATTCGGTATTCCACAAATGAAACACAAATCGTAAAGATTTCAGTAAATTCACAGCCCTTAAATATTAGCCAGAAATTTAATGTGAATCCCAATAAAACTACAAATTTTCCAGTTTAAGTCATTTAACTGAGCGTGTGTGAATTGAATGCTTCCAGTTGTGGCGTTGTGCAACTTGGATCGCACAAGATATACAACCCAAGATAAGTAAGTAAAATATCTGGTAAGAAGAAAGACTGCAAATACACTGGATTGCTTGGTGAATATGAGGTCAAGCTGCGGAAGTTGCGAAGAAAAAGTGCTTATTAAAACTAACAAGCTAAACTTGAAGGTCATTCCTGTTCTCAAAAGATGAATTTTATTTATGGCTAAGACAAATGTCAGGGTGGCAATCTAGATTAGTACGACAGACAGCGCGCTCGGTCATAATACAATGGACTGTGTGCTAAACTAAGTAAGGATACTGTGCGGTAAGTTAGAAATATTTATAGCAAAAGGCGTTTCTGTAGAAAGTAGTAGCAAAGAAATAACAGATGTACTTAAGCAAAGACATAAAACAGACATGCTTATATAGAAAAACAAAATAAGTCAAGCTTACTCGTGAATATGAAAAAGCTATTAGGAGCAATTTTAATATAAATAACAATATCTTTAAATACGAACGAGTATAAGTATAGGTAGAAACTTGAGAGGTATTATTAGTTAATATTTACACTTATGAAGATATATTGACAAAAATTACAATGTGTCCTTTCTAACCAAAGTTTTACAACCATGGTTATAACCGATATCAATAAGAGTCAATATATAAATAATATGCATAGTATAAGGCCACTAGGTTTTGTATATACCATAAACTTTATCAAACTGTTAATTTCACAAAATAATAATCCGTTTTTTCTACGTATAATTACTGATTAAGCTAACCGAATTTGAATAATGATAAAAATATCCTAAAACTCAGTGTTTCAAAGTAACGAGAAAATAAAATAAAATACATGACATTGGCTTGCTGTTTTTAAAGTAAAGTAACTTAAGTTAGTTAAAAAATTTGAATATATGTTTAGAATTTATCAATAATTTGTTAAAATGTATCTGTTAAATGGCCACTTACGACATTAGCTTGGAGCACGATTTGATTAAATAAGGCTTGATCAAGTAACTACTTTGGGCTGTGCATCTTCAAAAAGAGGTAACTTCGCGGTTTATGCTTTTAAAAAATATTTTAAGAAAAAATATTCACGATATATGTCACTCTTTTTAATTTAATTTGTTATATTTCTACAAATTTTAGGCTAATCCCTATTTTGTTTGACATCCATCATCAGCATGTCAATGCAAGATTTCTCCGATAATTTATCGACTCTTTCATACATAGCACCTAGTAGATGTCCAACTTGGATTTATGACAAAAAGGACAAATCAATATTTGGTCGAACATGCGCCTCATGGGGTTTATTGTCTATTGATGGTCTAACTCTTTTTTTTAGCCCAAATATTGATCTACTTCTGTCTTTTCTATGCAATCCTATTTGGATTTTTCATGGCAATGATGACCGTTTTTCTCCAATTAATTGTACCCTCTCAGTATCCCTTACGTACTGGCCAGCAGAGTCTTCTTAAATTCCAACCAGGTCTTGGTGTTCGTCCCATTATTGACGAAGAAAAAACGCTCATTTTCTATTCCAAAAAGGATCCGCAAGTGTACTACGAATATGTTGATAATATTAATGCTCTACTCGCCTACTATGAGGAAGTTAACCAAAAACCTGGAACTGGGTTCGCAAATTGCACACAAGATGGAAAGAATCCAAATGATCCTAAGAAGGTTTGCCGTTTCGATCTTACCTCACTTGGGCCTTGCAATAAAGAAAATAATTACGGATACCCGAACGACAAGCCTTGTGTCATTCTTAAGCTCAATCGAGTTCGTTTTCTGCTTTAATTGTTTTGACCTTAATCTATGTCAATCTCGCCATTCTTTATGCGCCAATTTTAGATATACGGATGGATGCCAGATGTTATTGATCCAGAATTCCCACATACCTTTGTTTCGTGTCATGGACAGGTATATTTCTCAATTTAAATGTTTTTTCCTTTTAACTGCACTTGTTATATTTGTCTAAACCAAAATTTATCTTTATAGAATCCTGAGGATACTGTTAATATGGGACCAGTTAAATTCTATCCAAGCAAGGAGATGAATAATACAGAATAGTGAGTCCCTGTCTTTATTTTACCTAAGTACTTTTGCTGTCTCAATATTATTTCTTATTGTATGTTTAAATAACGTATTCCCACATATTTTCACAACATTTCCTAATTATCATCCTGTATCTGTGCATATAGTAGCTTATTTATTATTAAATATTATTGATACTCTTACTTGGCCAACCAGTTCCCCCCCCCCCCTCCTCTCACATAGAAATGTATTGATATTTTTTTCCAGAACCAAATCACCATTTTTAGTAACTGTAAAAAACATGGGTCTTGATAGATAGGAATTTCAATAAATGAGGTGTCCTCCTTCACTCTAAAAACCTGAGGCATTACTAAAAATTCCTGCCTTTTCGAATGGTGTTATTTTTATTTATTCTGTCAACGATTTGTGTTTGGCATTTAATTGAAGTTGCTACAAAAGTTTCACTTGGAGAATCTTGATCAACGATGTGTGCTCGCCCTTTTTTCGATAATAGAATTTCTTACATTTCAAGAAACAGGAAGCATGGATACTTCTCACGTTCTCGATTTTTTTATATTTTTTCTTTTGCTCCGTTTTGTTAGTGTGCTCTTGCATTGTGCTCCCTCCCCTCCCTCTCCCCCCCTGTCTCGACTTCCAGTTATTGCCTTCAAGAAAAGTCTACTCAACTTGTAACTCATTCTTCTGCTCGATTTGTACTCCCGTCTCCTGCTTTAGCCGACTTTCTTAGCTCCTACGCACCAATTCTGGGCCATTGATGGAGCAATTAGCAGTTCACATCAAGACTTTCACTAACTTGCTATATCACGTGATTGACTCTGATTATCCTATCTATTTTCATGCACATGTATATATATATATATATATATCCCATTTTTTCCGTTTTACGCTATTTTCACTAATATAGTGTCTGTTCGACCAAAATTTTGGTACATTATAATTCTTTTTAATTGTTAAAATGAAGTTTTTGTCAAATACATGTGACAGAAGAACTACCACTGATTGAAAACAGGCTTGATTTTTCGTCAGAAAGAATTCCATTCTTATCTTTGGAAGATTTTCAACACCTTATACTTTGAATGATGGCACTAATTGAAATTATCGAGTGTATTAAAGTGGACTTTGAACTCGAGTCAATCGATTAGACGTGTAGTACGTTTATATTATAGTTTTCATTCAACACAGTAAATATATGCATGTATGTTATATTGCATATAATTATTTTCATTTTCTTTACTTATCCTGTGGCTATACTTTTATTTATCTACATTTTCACCTCTACTAGTGGCGTATTCCACAATCAATTCTTTCCATTCCTTGGTCAAAACGGCTACACTTCGCCGCTGGTGGCGATGCAATTTGAGAATGTGACGAGGCATGTCATGATTCTAATCCAATGCACTCTTCACGGTGCCAGAAATATTGACACCGACCCGGTCAATTTCGAGATCCTGCTTGACTAATTAATCCAATCACTGTCTCAATGGACTTACTTCCATTCCCTTCAGCCCGTTCACACCTCACCAAAGTAGAAAACAGCCTAATCCTCGTTACTGATCAGACACCCTTTTTCTTCTTCTTCTTCAATTGAATGTGTGTGTTGTTGTTTACATGTCTCTTTCTATAAATCTCAATCCTCTCTTC